TACCTTTAAATGCGAATGAGCTGTGTTAGACCACACCCCCTAGACCTTGAGTTGGAGCAGATAGTCGAAGCAAATGATGCGCGATCTTTGGAGCGATATGCGACTGAGATCCATTCTTAGCGAATCAGGGCCCTCAAAGTGTTCCTCATTTATTTAATATAATGACTAAGACCTCTTTGCAACCTGCCAGCACAGCATGCTGTTTTGAAGAATGGAAATGGATTTGCATTCTCATGCAAGTTTTTAATCCAAAATTAGGGGACATAATTGTTATTTTATGAATTGGTATCCATATCCAATATGTGTGGATCTGGCATGATCATACAATAAAAACCAAAACCATGAGCTGAATGAGGCTTAAAGATCAGTGCTCATCTTTCAGATTACATGATGGCCCCTAATTCATTGTTATTACAAAAATAAAATTACGGCACCTTCAAAGCTGACAGTCAGCACCCCAGACAGCACACGAGGACAAAACAAAATAAATTGTGTTTCTCTTCGGCCTGTGTTTATTGCTTGATATGCTGCCGTGTAATTTTACTTGTCTTACTGTGGGCAAATAGACATTATTCCTGAACAGTGCAATCTAAACACCTCCCCCATATGCTCTGGCAGAGGAGTGAAACAAATATGTTCACATTTCTGCCTGTGTGTGTGTGTGAGACAGAGAGAGAGAAAAGAGAGAGAGGGGGGAGATATTTTATGACTTCAGTTGGAATTACCCGCTGATCATTGACAGTGATGTGTGGTCAGGACCCCTATATTACACCACCGGGACAGACATCTGTGATCTACACCTTCATTTTCATTCTGAGTGACACTGACAATCTCTTCTTCACCATCCACTGCGCTCATAGCCTCTGAGTGTGTGAGTCTGAGTGTTTGTTCTCATTCGGGGCGGCAAGCCTGTTCGCCTCAAGGTTCCCTCTCTCTCTTGAGTGGCTCCGTGTGAAATGGAGGCAGGTGTTGCTTGCATCCAGGCTAGCCAAATGCACTGTAAATGGATTTCTCCTACACATAAGGCAGAGAGGAACTGAAGCCAACTGTGCTGGAGGTGCTGAATTCTAATGTCCTTCCAGCGTGTTTTCAGGAGCCACTTTGAAGGAATGCTGAAATGATATTACCCCTCTGTGTGTGTGTTCGTATGTGTGGTGTGTGTGTGTTCGTGTGTGTGTGTGTGTGTGTGTGTGTGTGTTTGTGGCGCCCCAGTGTTTTACAAGTTTGGTTTTCCATTAGAGAGTCTGCGTTTTTTACGAGATTGTTCTCTGTGGTCATGATGGAGCTTCTATTTACCAGCCCTGCACCCCTGGAGAGAGCCTGTCACTCACAGTGATTGACATACAGTGTGTTAAAGGAAAGAGCTCTTTTGGTTATAGACTAACCTCTGCTGCCTATAGATGAGTGGTTTTGCCCGACTGCAGTGAGAATGGATGCTGTACGTAAAGTACATTAGTAGGTTTATTTTATTGAAAACGAATGCAGATTCACCTTTTTATTGTCATTATATAGATGTTTGACACAATGATACAACGTTAAGGTGGCAGACCCTGAGTTAAACTATAAAAGTCAATATTTGGAGGCTTGTAAACCTAAACATTACGTACAGAAAATTCAATCGATTTGCAGAGCATCCAACAGCAGCAGTACCACATGTAAACATTTACTGTTAAATGCAGGGTTGCCAGGTCTGTGTGACAAAACCAGCCAATCAAAACTAGCCCAGAAAAACGCCCAATGCCAGAATTCAAGATAAGCCTGTAAAACCTCTGCCACAACATATATGCCTTTAAGTAAAACAGTAATGATCACTGTCAGATGTACTGTAATATTTACAAAATAACACAATACATTGTCGGTATACCAGCACTCAAAGCAGTCAGTCCTTTATTCCCAAATATAGCTCTGTGTGTGTGTACAATGATTCACCACAACTAACCTGCTGCTTGGTCCCTTTAATTCTTTGCCCTTTCTTTCCCTCTTCCCTCCCTGCTGGACAACATAATTAAATGTATTTACATAATATGCATTGATTTCATTATCTACATCTTATAATGCTGCTTCACCATATTTTTAAACTGACTCTAAAAAGAAATATAGATGTAAAGAGGTTTTTGTGGACGCCTTTGCTTTTTCCTTCGCTAGTTGGATAAGAGTCAGATGCAAGGCACCGGGCGCCGGCGGCAATGACTATGTGTGTGCAGACAGGGCAGGGCTGCATCTTTGTGTGTGGGAAAAGGGGGGCTGTGATATAATCCAATGTATACCTGCTCATCTGCTTGTCCATTTGGTTGGACTTGTGCATTATTAAAGAATTAGCATAGAGTTTTTTATTAATAATTTACTTGATATCAAAAATAGGTCCACCCAACCCAATAACAATAAAATCGATCCGCAGCAGCACCCGCAGAAAAAACAGCCTACCTGGCAACCCCGGCTATAAGCCACCTGAGCATAATGAGCAATATGCTTTACTTTTACACGTGTGGTGTGTGGTTTATCATTATCTTGAAATTGAAGACTAGCCGAAAACCAGTGTCTCCATGGTCTCTTGAGAAGCTCTTTAAAAAAAGTACATACAGTAGACGTTTTTTGTTGGGTACTGTACATGTAAGTCAGCTGCTCTCCACATTGGTAGGTTTCCAAATATCATATTCAAACTATTTGAAATGAATAAAGCCTTTAATATTTTTAGATTAATTTTCTTTTAACCAATGGACCAATACCAACGTCTTGGTTCACAAATATGAACCAGACTGAAAAATCTATACAACTACAACATGGATTGCTTTAAAATAAATTTAAAAAATGACCATGGATTACCAACACTGTAGTTGGTACAGGTACTCATGGTGCAGTTAAGAGGAAATACTAATGACTTCAGTGATACAATAAGTTTTCCTCAGGCACTACCAGTTTATTTGAACTTATCCTGTCAAATATCTCAAGGTACAGCATTTTGACATCATATCCCTAACATTGGTGATCCCTTGACTCTCCACTATGCACTGTGAGCTTTTAACATTCAAGATTCTGAGGGAAAGGTCTTGACAACGTATTAAGGGATTTATTTGAGATTTGGATAAATAGCTTTATTTTGCAGTCAGGATGATTTGTAAGAACAACTGGATCAACATTTTACCCTGTCCAATACATTGGTTTATGACAAAAGTCTACATTCCTTACTGCCTATGCTGTACTTTTTTTGTGTCATACTTATGAATAAAGAAGTACAATGTGTGACAATGAAATAAATACAGTACCAGTAATCTCCAGCTAGAGGCGTACTGTACAACCAGAACTTTTCATCAACAGTTATTACAATGGCCACAGGAAAGGGAACAAACAAAAAACTTTGGTGAAGCACTTTATCATCACAGCAACCTTAAAACTCTTTCAGATATTATTATGAAGTATGTCGAGTTGCAAATGGTTACATCAGCCCAGCGCAACATTTTTTTTTTGGAGGTGTGACCTGAAGAAACAGCCGATTCACCAGATGTGTACAGAGGTGTAACAGATCATTTTGTAGCAGTGTGTTGTTGAACACAAATCATTTCATGAAGGCAAATAAAGTGGAGCACCATATATAATAGTACGCTGATGCTGTGCAGCACTTCTCTTATAAAATGAAGCAGATTTATCATCATACATGATTAGATGTTGTCTGATTTAAGCATTTAACGGGCTGCAGGACACATTTATCATGCGGTTTAGAGAAGATGCTCTGAGGATTACTTCTTGTGATTTGTTAATGCAGTCTGCTTTGCCAGAGTTATTTCTTTATCCACATCAAAAGCAACTTTTTGTCTTAGATTTCAACGCTTTGACTTAATGGAAAGTGTCAAATTTAAATATTTTATCAACTGTATGAGTCAATGATGTTTGGTTTGCTTTTATTAAGAAAAACCCCACTAGTGACGACTTATTGAATACAAAAGTATCAGTGGAAAAAAAAAAAAACACAATCTCAGACATCATCAAGCAGAGCATGGTAGACACTAGGGCTGGGTGATATGACAAAAATAGTTATCACAATAAAAAAAATTCACATCAGTCAAAATCAATAATTATCACGATAGATGTTAAATCATTATTTCTGTTAAATCATTATATAATTTAAAGGCTGGTTTTGGGAAAGTTGGAAAAAAACAGATGGTAAATTGTGTTTTTTTTTATTGTGTGAACATGACTAACTCTACTTGAACAGAGGAATATTTCAGTATCATGAGCACACTTCACAGTGCTGGAAAATGCTGATGTGACAGTTTGCTGTTGGGCTGTACCACTTACTGGCCAGGTGATTAGTGAGGTCCACTAACAGCCGATTGTGACATTCGGTCATTTCTTTCATCCGGTGTGTTCTAACGGGTCTTATTGCTTCAAAAGGTTTGTGGTGTTGCCCGTTTTAGCCTTGCATGTCTTCTATTATAATTATTGGTTTAAATCTATTGAACATTTGTATTTTATATCGCAGTAATTATCGTTATCGTTTTATCTCCCACGCCTAGCAGACACACTTTCTTTCATAGTACTTATGCATCCTGCGCTGAAACAATACATTGCTGATTTTGCATCTTCCTACACTGTCATCTTTCATTTTCTTCAGACTTATTCAAAAGTGACCACATGATTTTTCCAATTAAAGTGTGTCCTTATCCTTAGTGGCTAAATTGGTTGAGTCGGTCGCCTCTCAGCCGGAAGGTCGAGGGTTCGATCCCCAGCTCCTGCAGCTACATGTCCGATGTGACCTTGGGCAAGACACTTAACCCTGAACTGCATTGTCGGCGGTGTATGAATGCATATGAATGGGATTAGTTCCAGGATGGCTTCACTACATAGCAACCTCTGCCATCAGTGTGTGAATGTGTAGGTGTGTCATGCGGTGTCAAAGCGCTTTGAGTAGTCAGAAGGCTAGAAAAGTGTGATACAAGTTCAATTACCATTAACCATTTATCTCTGTCTGTCTTTTCCCTGCACCCCTCCCTCTGTCTCCTCAGGGCATAATCCAGGATGTTAAGTTGATTTTCGCCCCCAACGGCTACATCACGCAGTGCCCTAACCTTAACCGCAGTAAGTATCAGGACGACAAAGACATTCAAAGTGCCCTTTGCATGCTCAGAGAGTAACAGGGGAATAAAAGAGTACTCCCCATTTAATAAACGAGGTGTGAGCTGGTGACCTCTCCCCGCTGCTCGTAAACAAAGCCTTCCTTCGTTGTTGTTTTTTTCTCTCTTCCTCTTCTTCTTCAGTTTTTTTTTTTCTGTTAGCTGTAATTCAGATTCAGCTCAGTCTCCTGGTTCCCCGCCTCGCGTCTGTATCTGTTTACTGTCAAACAGATTAAGACACGAGACCACAGCTGTGCCACTGTCTCTGCCTTTGATCAATAAGCCATGTAATCGCACCTTGTTGCTTTATTATTGATACTAACACAAGAAACCGTTCTAAGACAAAGAGTAAACAGATGTGTGAGGCTTCACTTTCGTTTATTCTTTGCCGCCATGAGCTTCCTGCAAATAATCATGGCTACCGTTTTCTTCTTCTTGTGGTATTCCCTTATCTAAACTCTTTCTTCTGTTCTCTTCTTCTGTCCTTTTCTATTGCGGTGCCTCCTTTTCCTTATTTGAGCCTGTCCGACCTGCAGTGATTTCCTGAGCCTGGTGCAAGGCATCATGGACCTTCAGGAGCTGCTTGCAAAGATGACCCTGAAGGTAGGAACAAGGAACAATACCTGGAACAGGAAACTAATGCCACATGTATAAACTGTCTGTCTATCAATGTGGTGACTGCTGAAGCAAGAATCAGGCATTTTTGGACAGACAAAGAGACAATGTTTGTGTTGTATCAGCTGAAGGAGTAAAATATATTGAAGGTCATGGATGGAAGGAAAACACAGAATGGGAACCGTCGATTGTTAGGTATGGGACGTAAAAGGTAAACTGGAAACAATCTAATAGTAACTAGCTGAAAGGGGGAATGTCAACCACTTACTGCAGTTGTGTTCGACAAACTTCCAACAATAAATGGACTCTCCCATTATTCTTGTACACTGGAACAAGGACACTAGTCTAATTAAGTGTCCTAATAGATCTATAACTGTAGCTCGACTGAACTGTGCATGTAAACTGACTGAATATAATAAACTTTGGGAACAGTTGCTGCAAAAGACTGTTAGGAAAAACAAAAACGAGTTAAATGATCCACAGATACATGTCCTACTGTAGTTGCAGCCTGCAAAAAAGATTAAACAATTAAAATGCAGAAATAAACTTCCTTCTCCACTAAAACCAATGACGACAGAGTCGTTTGATTTTCACGCTGCCTTCAATTAATGCTCATTGTTCCGTCTCCTCTGAAGTCACTATCTCAATTTGTGAATTCAATACAAAAACAAAATGAATACGCACCTTAATCTGTCTTTAGAAAAACAAAATATTCAATCAAATCCAGAACAGTTGGATTTAAATGGTTGAAGAATATTGTAAAAAGAAAACACCAATGTGCTTTTAGGAAGAAACAGGGAACAGATAATCATTTGGTTCCTGAAGGCCTCATTTTTTGGTCTTTTTTTGGATAAGTGTTAAGAGATAGTGAAGCAATGTTCAATTATGTATATTCACTATAAAATAGAAGGCAATGTGAATGCATGCAGGGCATCTCTTTGAAAATGCAAAGTGTATTATTGAGTGCTGTACAGACGATAAAGAGGAGCAGAGGTTGATCAGTTTGCAAAACATCAACTCCACCTCCTCATTTAACTTGGGGCGTCTGACCCTTCAATAAGGTCAAAGAAACTGTAGCACAAAGTCCCTTGAGAGACAAGAAAGTTAATCTTGAATCTTGAACTTTAAACTTTTCAAGTGAGGATTTGGTTTGGAATCATCTTTTTTAGATGATTGTTGCACAATTGAAAACTAATCAAAAACCTTTTCATTATGAGCCAGCACACATAAAGTATGACTTTAGTTCTTTAGGTCTCAAGGTTCATGAAAAGGTTAACGCCATGGGAGCGCCAAACTTCTTATGTTCTTTGCTTATTTGCTCTCAGGCAACAGATGCATTTAGCAACACAGCTTATTAGAGTCATTTCTATGGCAATGCTCAGCCATTCATTTTGGGGGCGGAGCCTGAAGGTCCATCATGAAGTATGTTTTTGATTAGCTGTGAAATATCAGCAACTTTTCCCAGAATTGCATACCCTTTTTTTAAGTCAGAAATAACTTTATAATTGTCCTACCTTTATATTGACCTTTACTTCTTGAATTAAAATTAAGAGCGACAATTTGTTAGGTCAGGAATTTTACTGTCTTCTTTAGAAGGTACATAACTTTCTAGGCGTGTGCTGAGGTTGACAACATGTCAAACAGCTGCTGAGAAGTTCAGATCATAATGATTATTTTTCTGCCAGCCTGCTAATGTCATTTTGAAGCTAGAGGGTTTTGTGTTGCACATGGATACATACACCACCACACACACACACTCACACCCACCCACGCACACACACAGGATGCTGATACATTCGAGGTTCAGTGAGGTGTCAGGAAATGGCGACTGCGTTGTGACAACAGGAGGCTAACAGGCGCTGTGAATTCTGCCCTGGAGCCATGTGGGAGAGCTTGAACTATTTATAAGACCCAACATCTGCATAATTGTGTGTGTGTGTGTGATCGAGTTGTGCTTCTGTGTGCATGAGTGAGAGCTATCAGGTGAGAGTGAATCGGAGCGAGGACATCTCAGCAGGAAGGCGAGCCATAGAATAATTTTCAGTGTAAATAAGGGTGAAATGAAGAACATTACCCTACCGCTGTGTCAACGCCTCCTCTCTCACATGAACACACCTCGACCTATCGCCACCTGACCTCGTTCCTCATATGAGACGCGGCGGGGAGGATGCAGTCATCTCCGGCGCTAAATGGCCTGCCTGCTTTTATGCTGCTGGAGAATAGAGAGATTCAGCATGAGGTGAATAATAGCACGGTCCTGCCGGAGTGTCAAGGCGAGGTGAAATGACAAAAAAGCTCAGCTGTGTGTAGATTAGCTTGGCAGCAATTTGCATGTATTAAACCTGTGCATGAGAGAGGAGACATAATGTGGTGCTGTACAAGCATCAATTTGTCAGTTGACCCCAAATACAAGCAAAAGACTTTCATGGCTGAAATTAAACGTTCAGTTTGGGTTTTATCTTTAAGCCCTGCATTTTAATTAACCTTAACTGTTGCATAGGCAAGGACTTTAGTATCCCGGTTTTGAACCTTACCCTGGTTTTGATTATATTGGGGATATGTGAGGATATGGCGTTTACATGCACACAGAGAAACCTGATCATACATATTTCTGTATCATGAATAATTCTAGTATCGCGGATCTGTTCTGATGTTTGGCCTAGTAGTAATGATGGCAGAGGTAAAGTGACCTTCAGAGGTAACTAATCCCATTGGTACACATGCATGCACCACTGACAAAGTAGCAGGAGTAATTACCCAAGGACATGTAGCTGCAGGAGCTGGGGATTGAACCCCGACGACCGACTCTACCAACTGAGCCACAGCCGCCCCATTATGTGTTATGAGTTGGGAAAGTGGCGTCCTGTAGCCTGCTCACAACTATCTTGAATAGATCTAAACTTCCAATTATATTTAACTCTTTTATTACCAAAAGAAAAAGCTCAGTTTCTTTATCGCTCCAGAAGTAAGACGCACTTTCATTGCCGTCGCCATGTTTGTTTGGCTGATGCGTTACTTGCCTGTGGGGTAGGCTGTAGCTGTCAGAAACTTGTGTAGAGCGTGTACATGATGTGGTATCCTGTTTTCGTTCTGTGGTCTCCAGGTGGCAAAATTGGGTTTCTCAAAATTGAGATGAGGTCTAGTCGAGTTGATTAAAATCAGCATGAAGATCTACTTGATCAAAACGGGGATACTGAAGTCCGTGTAAACTCAATGAGAGAGATGACAAATGTAAGGTGACATCTGGTTAGGTACCTTCTTGACCACAATGTGGGAGAAAAGCTCAGACAATGCTGTGGTGGCTTTAATTCACACAGCTTGTATTATGAATAGTCAGTAAAAATGTAAAAGAAGGGAAAAATCATCACTGAGATTGGACTTCACACAGCTGAGCCTTGTTGAAACAACACTTTTCTTGGTCTTAAATTCTTTATTTCCATGGCATGTTCCAAAATATTTAAGATATACTTTTGTTGTCCCTCTCCTCTTAAATTCCTGAGCATTATTTCCAGAATGATCCATCTCTAAGGCTGTTCTCTCGGTTAATGGAGGGTTGCTATTCTTGAGATACTTGGTGCTCACAGCAGATTTAAATAAGCCACTGATGCACACTTTTCTAAGGATAGCTGTCTGAATAAAGGATGTATAGCACATAAGATATTCTCCTCCACTGCTGCTGCATAAGATTCCCTTGTGTGTAAGCTTTGAAAGCAGCTTTAGACAATCCACTATCTTAACAGAGGACTCTTGGTCCTTGTGTCAGCTTTTCAAATATTTATCATTACTTCAGGAGAGCTATATTATTCTGCAAGTTTCCCCCAAATAAGCTTCTTTTGGAGTTCTCTCGTGAATCCAAGGGGAATCATTTATTTCCTCACTTTGGGACTCGGATACAAGCTTTTGGACGTTTGCAGTGTTCGCAATGGTAAATGTTATTTTGGTGTTTTCCAAATTCCCCCTCATTCAGCAGTAGCTCATTCTGTCGTCCCTACAGAATAATTTCCTTTTTGGCATTTGTTTCAAAATTTTGTAGCCAACTTTGAAGGCTTAGGGAGAAAGGATTTCTCCACCATCACTGAAAAAGCAAAACCTTAAGAGTTTAATTGTGTGTGTTTCTTATTAAGTAATTGCTTAAATATGATAATTACTTGATGTCAGACCTCCCAGATCTTATCTGATTAGTTGCTAATTTTCCTTAGACTGCTCATCCTCAGGATCTTATTTTATTTCTGTTCCACATGTTTGACACCTCCCTATAATGTGACAGCTGTGCAAATTATCATTCCGATCATGTCTGCATGCCTCATGTATCACCCATAGGAGCTACATGGTTATTAGCCTCTGACTCCTTTGTGACATTTGATGCTCGGGTTGTACAGGAAAGGTATTCCACTGTGGTGCCTGCAAGCATCCTCGCAGTCTTTGAAACGGCATTTCAAACATTTTGTTTTGCGGCTTTGACAGGACACATCTTTAGCGCTCACAACTCACACGGCTTTCCAGCATCCAGCCGGGACTCCTTTAAATGAAACGAAAAAGCCTCAGTGACATCAAGCAGTTTTTCTTTTTTTCGCTTTGGAAGCCTTTATGATTTTGGTGACGAGTTCTCGTGTTGTGACACTGAGGCCAGAGCAGGTCTCAGAGGAGCAGAGGAGGCAGAGGCAGAGCGGCAGACAGCCACAAATGTCTTAAGTGGAGCTCCACTTTCTGAGCTGACCTTTGCTGCACTGCTCAATTGGACCTTTTGGAATTCTCCCACGTTTATCGGAGGTCTGTGATTGCTCATATTTGGGTCAGGCAGTAAGTGTATTTCATAGATATATGAAGTTATAAGTGATTTTCTGTTTGTGTGTGAGCAAGCCAGCTCCTATATAAGACCATAAGAGAGCCTTAATGGATCCAGAGAGCTGTTACGTATATAAATAAACCTCCTCAATCATAGAAAGAAGATTATAGATAAATACAAAATGAACCTTAATGGATGCAGGTTTCTTTAGAGGCTTTGACTGAAATCAAGTCATCAAACGAATTACAGTTATTGCTTAGGACAGGGGTTCCCAAACTTTTCCTTGGGAACCACAAGGTTTATGATATTCAAAGTTATCTAGTGCATCCATCAGATCAAAAGATGTCAGTTATTGTTGTTTTTTTCTTCTTTGCTGAATATCCACATGAAGCCTTTTAGCATCTGACTGGAAGACATTACTAAAGCTTTTTTTATAAATATATTACAGAAGATTTGATTGAAAGGAGCTAAATTTACCTCTGAAACCTAGCTTTTAAAATGTGTGCTGGAGTCTAAATTCACGACATTCATCGTGATCAAATCATTCTCAGTGATCTGTTTAATCTGTTCGTTAAATCATTGATACGGTTCAAGTTGGAGCCACAAAGTTAATGAGATGAACCTAACCCTCACCAACAAAGAGTGAGCTAATCGGTTTAAACTTATATACAGCAAAAATGATCTCCAATGTTTATCACTCTTAATGTTTGGAGTTCATTTTTGTTAATACATTTCAAGTTAAAAAATGAAGTTGCAAAGTCTTCTTTTTTTTTTTTTTTTTTTACAGCAGCTGCCATTGGAAGACGATTATTCCAAGCTGTTAACAATACAAGTAAATTTATAGTAACATAGTTATTTTGTAAACTTAAAGGAAGAATGTACAACATTTTACACATGAATACAGCAGAAATCAAGTATATCCTCTGTGAATGTCTCTCTGAGTCATGACTGTCCACAATGAGTGAGAAGCGTGAGTCTCTCCAGCTGCACTGTTGTCGAGCCGTGTTTACGTCATGTTTACATGGACGGCCTTAAGTTAAAGCTATTTTAGTCAAGGAATAGAGAAAAGAGGAATAAAATACTTATTGCTTATTGGATGTCAGTTAAGTGTCTTTAGATCGCTGTCGTTCTGTGTCAATTTATGTTCAACACGAAGCTACAAGCTAACTAAGGTGTGCTAACATTAGCCTGCTAACACAACAATGCAGGACACAGGCAATTACAGCTCGAGCAAAGGATAATTTTGTCCCAACTAACTTAATGGTGCTTAATTACGCTGCGTTCTAATTGATAAATCCTTCGTGTGACCTCGAGTGGAGGGGAGGGGAGTTGGAGGTGTTCCACTGGAGGAGACTTCAGAATCGCGGAGCTGTCACCAAACAGCAGTTTGTTTTGGTTTCATGCTGGTGTTCAAGGGCAAATTCTACTGGACCAAGGAGTTGCACATTCTTCCTTTAAAAGGCAAATAACCTAATTAAATATAATACTTTCTACATGACAGACAATGATAAAGCTAGTTTTTGATAGAAACTTCACTTGCACTATCCTCTAAAGGACGTCACTCCTCTCAACCAACTCTTCAAAGTTTCTAGGATAAAAAGCCTTCATTCTTGACTTTTAAAAATGTTTTGAACTAGAAATGATAATAACACTTGCTTCCCTAACATAGTAGGAATGAAATAAGTTAACAAAATATTTTTTTTTAAAAAGCTGTTGAATCCTGATCGAAAGTTAATCCTAATCGGTGCATCCAGCTCTCTGTGACCCTCCGTGTGACACTTCAGTCAGTCAAAGATGCATCATTTTTGACATCCGTGGACGAGCGTAGAGCATGAACTAAGCCAAAAGAAGAAGAAGAGCTGATCAGTGTGCAGGGATAAAAGGGGATGTGAGGCGGGATCGGAGCTGTCAGTCCTGTCTGTCATTTCTCAGTAGATTATAGCCTGAGGTTTGGAGCCTGAGCTGAATGATGATCTCTTCATATTCTACAGTATGTGCCCTTCTAATGAGTCGTCTCCCCAGCGGAGCAAGCCAATCAGGGCACGCCAGAGGGCGAGGGAGGGAGGGAGGGGGTTGAGAGGTTAACCTGCTTCCACTATCAGACTTTTGATTTAGTTTTGTGACTCAGGCCATTCTGTTCTCTCCAGCTGAACTATGCAGAGTCCAGGCTGACCCAGCTGGAGGGTTGTCACTGTGAGAGGACCTGCAGCGCCAACGGTCTGGTCTACAGGGACAAAGAGCTGTGGGTGGAGCCGGAGAACTGCAGGAACTGTGCATGCAAGGTAAGCGTTACCATAACCATTACCGTCAAAGAGTGAGCCAACGGCGTTTGACTAAGCATTTAAAAAAAAAAATCCCTGTGATATTTAGTACTTCAATCATTTAATTGTATTCTGAATTTACGAAATTAGGCAGAAATATCCAGATTAGGGTTTTATCTTGGAATACGAGTGGCAGCTTTTACAGTTAGTACCCGGCCCTGACACTCTTCCATGCAAAGGAAGCATAGCATGAGGAGTGTTCCCACCTGTAAACAATACAAGTACACTTGTTGTAAAGGATTCTCTTCAAATCATAAATATTCAAAGGAAAGTTGGTACACTTAACAGGCAAATGACATCTTTTTAAAATAGCATCACAGACTACAAGTACATTTTCTTAACTAGAAAGTCATTACAGCCCTTATTTCCCCGTCCCTCCTCTCAACACGTAACTTTCTTAGCTTGCCTTCCCATCAGACCTTCCTCTCCAACAGCCCCTGCCTTACCCCCTAATAAGCGCCCCCCCCCCTAACTAATAAGCCTCCCTGCCTGCACTCATACATATGAACCAGACTTTGAAAATTGTTGAATCAGGCCAGTGCGGCGCCCTGGGGAATTAGACTGGCTGCATCGTTGCACATCAAGCACAGGGTGGAGTTTAGCCGGTCTGATTTCCTCCCGCGGACATGCCATTAACTGATAACCGCGGCGTCCTGGGGGAATCATTTCAGATGACTCATGAAATGAAGAGGCGCATGCTGAGAGAGAGATATCAGCCGCAAAAATGAAAGCAGTCCTTCAGGGCCTGGATAACTACCTGCTATCAGCAGGTCGCTCACTTTCACTATCTGCCATCCAGAGCTCAATGATGAATCTATTATCTGATGGCTCATTACAATTTGTTTCTGTTTCATTTGTAAATTTGAATGCTGTCTGTATCAGATTGCATTTCTACATGTAAGGGTGGGATTCTGCACAGTTTGGGGGCAGATTTGCATGGTGTAAAAACTAAGATTTTCTGCTTTTCAGCTGATTGGGATAAAAGCGAACTTCAAATGTTTAAAATCTTTACAATTGCAGGATTTTTTTCTTCAGTGTCCTGACCGTTTCGAGGCACAGAAAAAGGGAGAGGCACAGAAATAACATTTAGTTTGGAGAAGGAGGTCAAAGTAGCCAAACTAGTCACATGCAGAAAGTCTCTCCGATCAGACTACGGTGGCAGCTTTTATAACGACTGGGCGCATTGGGCCCAGGTTTCTCTCAGTCAGGCTGATTGGGAAGCCACTCCTACTAATTCCACGAAACCTACAACACAAGACGAGAAAAGGAACAACCTAACAGGGCCAAGATAAAGACATTACGTTTCAAGAAAGATGTGCAAATGTAACATGAGACATAGATGGAAGCAGAAGACGTTAACAGGATGGTGTTTGTTGTGGTGCCAAAGGCAGAACCTTGAAGCTCACTGTAAGTGCGTCTGATGTTTTTCATGTAAAATAAAAAAATAGAACAGATAAAAGAAAATCATCTCTTTCAGAATGGTGTGGTGGAGTGTCGCAGGATCTTCTGTCCTCCGGCAAACTGCTCAGAGGACTCCCTGCCTGTTCACATCGATGGGACCTGCTGCAGGAAATGCAGACGTAAGTATCAGCAGCATCTGTTTAGATCAAGCAGGAGGCAGGAGACATTTTTACCAACAAACCTGTGAAAGCTCTTCACAACTACAAAAATACCCCTCACACTCCCCAAATAAGCTCAGGTCAAATAAACTGCTGACACAGCAGCTTATTTGTTGATTTGCCAACAGTAAAACAGCTGAGGATGATATACATTGGTGAAAGTTTGTATTGGTTTTGCATATTGCTCAGTCTACACCATGATCAACTCAGCATCACTGTTTACTTTATAGCCTACTCTCTTTATGAACTAGCTGCGCATCCTGTAATCACTCAACAGCTGCTCACTTCAAAATCAACGATCCTGTGTAATCCTTCTTTTCCGTGCAAGTTGAATCAAAAGTTATTTCATCTAATTGTATCTTTTGATGTTTCTATGTTGAAGTGTAACAACATCAAACTGTAAAGCTTCTCAACATTCAGGATTTCATACCGACTGTATTCATTGACAGATGCTGTTTTCTTTAATCAAATGCCTTCTTTGAAAAAAGTGGGGATGTTAAGAAATTAAATCCCCATTAATTCCAGTAACAGAGGTTGTATGATTCATTGACTTCACTCATACCCTCATACAGAATTAAATTGAGGGCGGACTCTGTCTTGTAAATTGCACTATTAAAACATTCAGACAGATAAGGAGATGTTGGAGTACTAGATGGTGGAATAATAAGCTGAACTAGATAGCTAAAGCTGGTAGAATCTGTTAGCAGCAGTTGTCTATGTTCTTTAACTTGGGCCCTGTTTTTTGTTCTGTGTCCTGTGGTTTGCACAGTAACAGCGTTTTAGGTGCCTGAAAACGCAAAGTTTTGAAAACAGCTGCCTCCTTGTTATCTTGTAAACTGGTGGCAATATGCAGGTTCTCTGAAAACAGAGAATTGTTTTTGCACGTTCATTACACTTCCAGTCATAAGCTTTGTGCCAGTGGGTTGACAACAACAGCAGCAGCGTCTGACCCCCAAGTTCCCTCGGTGCTGCTCACTCTACTGAATATAACACTTCTCCAGTAAAGTGTGGATTTCCTGCACCATCACTTTGATCAGCGGTGACGTTTGCTTACATACTGACTCCACCTATATGCCTGCAAAGGGCAGCCAACAGGTGATTAGCCATTAGCCATTATTCTTACACCTCGTTGCTCTGTAGATGGAGTATGTGTGTATGCGAGTGTTTTTTTCATTACAAAGTCACACCGCCAACTACTGGCCTGGCATGTGTGTCAACAGGGAATGTTTTCATTAGATACAAAGAAGGACTATTCAATTTTCAGTGTTTGTTTTTGTGTAAACGTGGCCTTAATTGCTGGCCTGTAAAGAACATGCTTTGCCTACAATGAATTACATATTGGCCTCCAATAATGGCCACGACTAGAGAACATATCTGGTCTTACCACATGCATCTGTAAAGTGTCATGCGACTTGCTGCCCTTGTTGATTAGAGGAGCTAGTCATTCATTTGTAAACCAAATATGTTATATCATATGGATGGTAGTTTCTACGACCACCAGAACCACACAGCACAAGGCTGATGTTCTGCTGGCACATTGAAACCGGAGTGAAAAAACAACAACCTGAGAGCAAAGATCACAGTTGTAAGATGTTCATAGAAGCTGAAATAGAAGCTCTGTTATAAAGCACACAGGGGTCTGGTAGCTGCTCGCAGACCAACGGACAGCTGTGTCTGTGTTTCTATACAGCACAAAAACACTCAATCCCTGAAATATAGTTTGTCTTTGAATAATTCCATCCCTCCTCTGCCTCCCCTCCATCCCTCCACTCACTCCTCCCTTCCTCCTCTTCCTCCCCTGTGAACATCAGAGGTCTGGCACAGAGGAATGTGGGAGCGGCGCTGCAGTGCTGCGACTGAGCGCTCGGCAAGTCCTGTCCCCTGGAGAGGAGAAAAGCAGGACTTCATATCATATGCTTCATTTTCTATTTCTGTTATTGCCAGAGGAATATGCAGAAGGGTCTCTCCTCTGTTGTATTCTTAATGCGCTGTTACACTTCCTCTCCGCTTATTCACACCAGCACAGAACAACTTTGTTTCCAACAGAATTAAATATGCAGAACTTAAGGCAGAGAACTTTTTTTTTTCTCTTCTCAGGCAATTTCAAAGCATTTTTCTTATTGTTAAAAGTACCGCTGGAGCTGATATGAGCCAGGGGATTATTCTATTTCTGGTGTTTCATAGTAACTGTACTTATTAGTGTTATTGAAGGGTTCCTTTCTTTTTTTTTTTCTTCCCACAGCAAAATGTACCTACATGGGCCGAACCTTTTCTGAAAGCCAACACTTTTTATCCCGGAGCTGCAGGGAATGCAAGGTAAAACGTATTCTCTCTGACATTTAGCCTCTACCCTGCAATCAGACCACCATGCAGGGCTCCTTTGTCAGTTTAAATGTGTAATGGATGTGCGTGGTGGTCCGCATGGCGTGCTATTCAATTAGGGAGGAGGCCTTATTAGTTTTCCCTCCCTCCACCAGATCTGTTCAATCTGCCTTTTCCCCCCCATCTCTCTAATGGTGAGATAGCCAGGTAATTAGAATAACTCATGAACACAGCAACACAAAGGCCTGCTTTGAAACGGGGCTTCATCACTGCATGGATTATAATTAAACTCATTATTCCAGTTCAGCATAGAACAGAGGTGAGCTTTCTTCACTGGCAAGCCATTCATCTTAAAAGACACGATTTTAAGGGGGAAATTAGTGTTTTATGCATGTAATTGCTTACAAGGAGCCGCACAGTGGTTTCCTAGACTCATTAGGAGCCCTCAGGCATCTCTAAACATTATTATATTGTGTGTAAGCTTTGTTTCAAGCAACAACAGACAATCCTTTACTCCTCACAATGAACGCTGCTAAAGGCCCCATTTGTGGACAAATGATTTTAGTTGTAAAATGTTTGATTATGAGGATTCAAAGGGTCACTCGTGGAAGCGTTTGTTGTCCACAAAGAACTATTAGAAGTTGACTTAGCTTTCGCTAGAAAAGGTAGTAGAGGTGCTCCAAACCTGCGCTCTTCCTAATGGCCAGCAGGGGTCTCCTGCCTGAGTTTTATGTGAACAAAGATAGCTTTAAAGGGGACATATTATGAAAAATCCACTTTTACAGTGTTTTTGAACATATATTTGGGTAACCTGAGTGTCTACCGACCCAGAAAATGTGGAATAAACCCATCCAGTCCTTTATTTGTGGTCTGCATAAGTCTTACAACACAGAGGAAAATGCTCAGTTTCAAATTTGCTCAACTTGTGATGTCACAGTGGGATTCTGGTAAAAAAAAATACCCTCCCCTCCCCTGGTGACTCCACCCCCAGCCTAGATTAAAACTTTTGTGCAGGTCAACTGTTTTTATTCTCCCTAGCTAAGGAGTGATGTCTATTGGGAAAACTCGGGGAGGGGGAGTCATTGCATTTAAATAGACACACACCTAATTGCAGGGATCATTCAATCTATTTGGTATTGAAATATGCTAATTATTAAGCCAACTGTATCCACTATGGCCAACGCAGTTGTGTGGTACAGCTTCAAAAAACACTTGTGATTATTTTAACTTGTTGGCGATGGTAAGAATCCAAGATGGGAAATGGGACGCACTAAAACATGATGTAGGTTCTTACTAGTTGCAAATATTTTGAAAATGATGACGAGAAAGGGTTTGATGTCACCATGGCCATCTTACATGACAGAGTTATAATGCTGTTACTATTTTCTGATCTTTCACGACTATTGTAAAATAAAAGTAGTAAAATCCATGATATCAATATAACATAATTTATCATCTTGTAAAAGTTGTTATGGCTGTTCTGGAATTTAACTGTCTGCAATTTGGTTGAAAAGAAGAAGTGGCATACTGTGACTGTGAAAGCATGCATTCACAAACAGCGGCCTTGTGCTAATAAAGCAGCTTAAGAGTTGGATTAATGAACCTTTAAACCAAAGCAATGAGCAAACAGAGGCTAAATAATCATTTTATTTATGTTTATGTCCTCATAATTAACTGTGATTGATCCCTACAATCTGCATCTTTGATTAAAGACACAGTCTTTGTGCCAATAACAAATGCAACTCTAAAGGATTTAACTGAGAGACAGATTAGTTCACGATTGAACTTCTAATTCTCCGTTTTTAATGAGAAATAACTCAACTAGCAAAAAGCCTCACAGTACAAAGCGACTGCACTATTAAAAGATCAAACAAGGACAGTTATTATGTTCCTAGAAAACGGGACTTTGAAGTAGGTTGTGAAGAAGGATTCTCAGAGATTTGACTATCAGACCTGGAGAGGCATCCGGGACCACCAGAGCTCTGACGGACCAACCAGGCTGCTGCAGAGCGCTGGCTATTTGTTTAGGAGGCCCAGGGGAAGATGACACAAAGTACTATCTGCCTTTCTTTCCCTTCTTTGGTGGCTCATATCTGTCTCTTACCTGCAATCTGTATTCATGCCCTCCATGGGAATATGAGCTGCATGTACAGCCTTTACATTCCTCTCTCTCTCTCGGTTGTCATGGCAGCCTCATTCAGTCAGGAGAGCCTTAGAATACCCTCTCTTTATATTTATTATCAAACATCCATATAAGTGTTTGTGATATTTAAATTGCAAGGTTCCAACTGGCTAAATAAAGCCGTTAATCACACAAGCCTTCATGTGAGGTCAGAGAGCGTGTAAACACAGTTAAAAGATGGTAATATAAACAGGATTAAGTTAATGTCAATGAAACATAGGGATGAAAGTGGGCGATCATGAGGAAGCTAAATGGGTAACATCGCTCTCAATAAAGTGACAGTAAAGTCATTTTAAATATGCCATGTGTGTATGATCCTGCAAACGACCGGCCCCCTAAGGACGTGGGTTGGTGGTGCACAGGATACCCTGTTGGTTGTTCAAGATTAAATGTATGTTGACTTGCAGGTATTGAAGAATTCACAAATTCTCTAAATTCAATTACAGACCTTTAAATGTGTGACTGATTTATTCTGAGTAAACAAAGACGCAGCGTTCAGAGGCCATTATGGCCATATGGTTTGAAAAATTTAGATTATGTGCCATAAGACCTTCAATGACATCGTTTTTTTTTTCTGATGGAGCCTGATTATCTTCTAGATTTTCCACACATTTAACTGCTGCAGTGACATTGTAAACTTTTTGCCTGTGTCCTGTGTACTTGCAGAACGGCCTGATGGTGAAAGTCACAGAAACTTGTCCGGAGCTCAACTGCACCGTCAGTGAGCAGATCTTACCAGACGGCAGATGCTGCAATGTTTGCAGAGGTATGTCTTTGTTCTTTTCTAAACTCTTCTCAGTTGCGTGAATCACTGCTGGACGTGCACACACCGCTCCCCCGCCGCTGAGAGTAAAAGAGTGTAAACACAGTCGGTCTGCCTGCTGCTGATTCAGGCTGTTCCTCTGCAATTCTTCTGTTTCTCTCCTCTTCCTCCTGCTATGCATGCTTTCTTGGCTGAGATACTTATCAGAGCAGATTGGCCTGTCTACTATTGAGCACCTGCTATGCCAATTTGCCTGTACCCCGCTGCTTTGGCAGGGAGGTACCACAGGGTAAATAGCCACCAGTAATTCAGTAAATACATTGAATAAACAAACTGTAGGAGGCTGTCAGATATAGAGCCATAATGAAAGAAACACAGGAAAGCTTCTGAGCAAAGGAAATTGCACTCTTGTTTGGGTGAGATAAGCAGCATGCCTTAGACCCATGGTATATAGATGAGAGGAAGAAGAAAAGAAAGGGTAATAGAGAAGGAAAAGAAAAGGCAGGAATGGTAAGGAGAGAAGGAGAGAATATGAAAGAGGAAAGGTTAGGAGTGTTGAGGAAGAGATAGGAAAAGGAAGAAAAGAAGAAGGCTGGAGGAAATGTTAGGTCCCGAACCTGCAATGCTGAAAAGAAATGAAAAGTAGGAGGGAAAGGGTCAAGAGTGTAAAGCACAGCATGAGAGGAGAGAAGGGGGGTAAAGAAACGGGGGGGGGGGGGGGATAGTGAAGGCTGGAAAAAGATAGACATGAGAAGGAGGTTAAGATGATGAGAGAGGAAATGTTTAAAGTGTAAAGGGAACGAGAAGGGAGGAAATAGTAAGTCATGCTTTGTTAAAAGTAGCCGAATAGAAGATAAAGAAGAGGTATGGGGAAAGGAAATGCTAAAGAGCAGCATATGAAAGGAAAGAAAGTAGACAAAAGCGAGGAAAAAATGAGGGAATAAGAGACGGAAAATAAGAGAAGGAAGTTTTAGAGTGTAGAGAAAGAGATATATAGAGAAAAATATTAAGTCTTAGATCTCCTGGGTTAAAAATAAAGGAAAAGAAAAGCAGGAGAGAAGGAGTTAGCGGCACAGGTGTTGAGAAGAAGATGAAAGGATAGCAAAGGGAGGATAAGGCTAACACTTTATACGAGGAGAGTGAAGGAAAGGACGACGAGGGCAGGGGAGGGAGATGAGAATAGAGAAAGACAGAGATTTATTGTGCTGGAAAGAAAGTTAGTAAGTCAGAAAAGTTGTTTTTTTATGAAACGCAATTCACAGTGTACAGACTCTTTTTCTGATATTTAAAAAGCTTAATTAAGTTGGAATACGACAACAAACCGTCTCCCTCTAGATTCGTTTGCCCTTTCAGTATCTAGGTCCCAAACAGCTTCTGTAAATATTAATGGGCAAAGCCTGACGTCACCCGTCCGTTACTGCAGGGGGCTTTTGAGTCCCATTGATGGAAATGCTGTACCTTTCAGTCAACCTATAACGATAGGCTGAGAGGCGGGTTTTAAGCCTGTTAACAACCTGTTTCTCGGCGCCCACCTGTCAATCAGGTCAATTATGCACCTTATTGTGAGTAACGCTAATCCTTCATCAAATCTAAAAAAAAATCATTCCCCCGTACAGTGTGTGCTGATCGAGACATGAGCTAATCAGACCTATTTGGATTGTAAACATGTTCATTTATGTTGTCAAAACAGGCTTTTTTCAGACATGTGTGTGTACTGTGTGTGACTTCTGGTGCTTCTGCAGCCAGCCTCAAGTGAACACTCGACGAACTGCAGGATTTTGCACTCCCTCACTGGCTTCATTTTTCAACACTGGAGGCGGTTGCCACTTGATCCCAACCTCCTTCCTGCATGATGGTCACAAAAATAAAATCCTCATAATTTTAGAAGTACACATAAAAGTGTCAAAACTAAGATTTAAGGGCTGTCACCATTATCATGTTAAACATAATGATTCTAAGGTCCGAAATTAACACATAACATTTTTTTTAATATGTATTTATCTCATGCTGTTTTGTCCCTTTCAGCTCACCGTAATAAAGCCGCTGTTGTGTCTTCCTGAAGCAACAGTGATAGAAAATAATGACACCACTGCAACATTGATTGGCTCATTTCACTTAAAAAAAAAAAAAAAAACTCCCAGATAGCTCAGTTGACGAGTCAAATGTAATATGAATCCTAAAAATGTCACTTTTTTTAACGTTTACCTTAGCTGTGTTTATTTACTTTAGGATCTTTCACCAGTTCCTTTTTCTATGGTTAAGTTCATGTTGAAACTTTTCGACATACTGTGAGTGCAGTGTTTTTTTTTTCCAAACAGGAAATAAAGTACATTAGCAATAGCCAGAAAAAAAATACAAAATAAAAGTATATTAAAATTGATGGTAAAAGTCACAGAGGTCTTTGTGGTCAGATAGGTGCGTACTCTTCTCCACCATGCACACACTTACACATCTTGGTTAATCAGACCCTTTAGGTGTATGCAGCGCTCTGCAGGACGCTGCTGTCGACGTCGAAAGAATAGTGCAGACGCAGCTCTTTCCTCAGTAATGGCTCCCCGGGCTCTCCGCCTCTCGGGGCTTTTATGTGCAGCCGGTCTGTCTTTCATTACAGGCCATGATGGGCTACATCAGCTCCTATACTTACAGAGCAGGGGACCCATCATCTCTCAACAGTCTGCCTCTACATCAGACAGACCGATTCTCACAACATCTTGTCTCTCTGTCCTCCCTCTCATGTACCGGAACACCTGAAGGAGCACGGTTAGGTTTTAACTTGACAAAACATTGGGAGTGGAGGTGGTGAAGTTTCTCTCCACCTCCACAAACAGTCAGTGTTTTTAATCCCAGTACTGGTGACATGTGTCCAAGCCAACACAATAACCAAATGAAAGCCCTTGAACCCTGTCACTACATTTGCAACTTCGGAGGCGCTGACTGCTATTGCCAAACCATTTTGTATCTTGCTTCCTTTCAGAGGATGACAGCTAAAAAGCCCATGTTTCATAGCCCAAATATCAAAAATGTTCAAGAAAACCACTTTGGTTCCATTTCTTAAGCATGTTTTACAATCTCATACTGTAGCTTCTGCACAACTAAGCTAATAATCAACTTTAATGCCAAATTGATACCCCCACTAAAGGGCATATCTTTGAGACAACATTTTATACATTTAGTTGTTTACACTCTCATTATTACACTTCTGTGTTGGAGATGCAGCAGCTGCTTTAACTGTGTCCATTCCTTTAAAGGCTTTCCTTGCTCTTGTTTTGTTCAGCACAGCGATAAAGACCTTGTGTTGTCGTACATGGTTTAACAAAACTGGAGACTCTTATAGTAACGTCTGTTTGTGTCTCTACACTTAACCACCAATGAAAACCCAATGAAATGAACATACGCTGCTTACTGGTGCTGCAGAATGAGTCAATGGAACAGGAGCATTATTAACCATAGCCAGTTATACTTTTCATTACTGTCACAATGAGTGCAGGTGGGTTAGCTGTTCAATCATTCACTTGGTTTGAATGAATGAATGATATAACAAAGAGTAAGGGTTAGACCTGCTCTTTTGTAAAGTGAGAGAACATTTGTTATGATTTTGGCTATACAAGAAAAGACTGATTGGTTGGTTGATTGGTTGAGCAGACTTTTTAAGGCCTTTGTCAGCCTCTTTTTTTTTCTTGCTTGGAATTGGAAAAGACACCAAAAAGATTCTAAATAAACCAATTAGCCATAGCTTTAACTCATGCAGGATTGAGAGGACACTGACATTTTCTAAAAGCAACCTTTCCAAACACTTTATATTAATGTCACAATATTCGCCATTAACTTGCCTATACAACACTAGCAGAACCATTCAGAAGTGCCCTCCTAACACTGAGTGGCTTACTCTGAAAATAAGCTCAATAAAATCACTTCAGAGCTAATTATGTCTGCAGCCTCAACAGTCTGATATGTGTTTATGTGGTGTTTTATATCAAATATATAGAGTGAGTGTTGGTCTGGGTGTTAAGTGGATCTGCATTGTTTTCTCACTTTCTTGTCAGGGAGACAAATAGTAAAGTCAAAATAATAATCATAATAATCAAACTCTCCGTTCATCCAGTTCAGTGAGTCTTTTTAAGCATTTGGCTAAAAAGGAGCAATGACATCGTCTGAGATCTTCCTACAGGAGCAGCTTTTTCTGAGTGGATGTATTTTAATGTTGTGTGTGTGTGTGTGTAAATGTTTTTGCAAACGTTAAAACTTTTTCACACGCACCATATTAATTTAGTCAGAAACTTTTTTTTCCCCCCATCAAGTTTCTTGCCAACCACAGTACTGTGCGTGTTTGTCAGCTTGCAACTGCACGCACAGCCATGAGTGTGTGTGTGTCTGCACACAGCTTTTCACAACCTCGTGTGAGCAAAATTCTAAAGACCAGAGTAAATTGTGGCTTCCTTTGTTCCTCTCTTTTGACAGGTTACAATTTCTGTGCGGAGGGAGTCATCTGTGGAGAAAACTCTGAGTGTAAAAATCGGAATACTAAAGCGGAGTGCGAATGCAAGAGTGGCTACGCCTCCATCCACGGGGATTCTACATACTGTGAAGGTAGGACTGGATTTGAGTTGGGTCAGGGTCAGCTGAGTCTCAGCAACTGACTCATATATTGGCCTAGCATGGTAAAAAGCAGTGTGATGTTTATTTATCATTTATACAGGCTGTGTTTCACAGAAGGAGATTTGTAAAAAAAGTAGATGTTTACACAATCAGTATGTTTACCTGCAGTTAGAAAGAGTTGATTCATTGTGTTAATCAGACTAAAAATTGAGTTTGACCTGCAAGAAGGTCCAATAATAACTACCTGAAAGGTGACATATCGCCATCTACTGTAATGGAGTCAGACATTCTTCAGTCAATAAATGGATTCTCCCCTGGTGCTCTTACACTGAGACAAAGAGAGCAGTCCACTTAAAAGGCCTAATGGAGCTCTAACTGTATAGCTAGACTCAACTGTGCATGTAAACATACTGAATGATTGTATGACGTGGTGATGATGACTGGCTGTGATTGGAGATGAGCAAGTGGTCAGTTAAAAGCTGGACTTGGCATCACAAATCTGACTAAGCACAGTCAGGATCGAGCACTTTCTGGGATTTTGAGGAAATGTCCTCTGAACACTGTTCTGATTTGTTTGTGTTCGTTTCGGTTAAAGTTTCACTCAGACTTAAAGTTGGTCAGAAAATATGTCCCTGATTTTCATCCTCTCAATCATATATTGGAACATTTCAAATGTTCGGCACAAGAAGTCTGTCCTTGCAGCGGCATTAATTGTAATGATGAAATTAGAGTACCAATAAAAACAAGGTTAAGGTCTGCGAGTTGATTCTTCTGCATGCCAAGACAAACCATGAAACCAATGTGATGCCTGCAATATCTGCAAGTTCCAAAATCAGTTTTTCAAGCCACTGCATGCTTTTAGAAAAAGGACATTTGAAAAGAGTTCACGTAGTGGACTGGCACACTTTTTTTTGTTGCTCAAATCAAACTTTGGTCACAGTACACAGCAGATCTTTTCACTTTTTATATTTGGTCTCTTGTTGATCCATAGAAAGGCGAACAGCATGCTTATACTTTAAACAGTCCTATATTTATCTTAAACCACAGTGTCCTCTGCTCTACACTGAGTCTGCTTCACATTTCCTAGAAAACATTTAATCTTCTAGAGTTTCCAGTCATTTTTTAGTGGATCCCTGGAAAAAGCCAGTTATCTCTAAGAGTGCCAGGGTGCTTCTTGTGTGCTGATTGTTGGACTTGGCTGAGATAAAACTCTAGTATGTCGGTGCTGGAGGCCCAGAGCACTTGTGATGGAGCTAATGGCCTTATTTGATTAAGAGGCTTGGGAACGGCGGTCGGCGGATTGAAGGATTTGCTCGATGCGCTGTTGCAGTTGTCTTTGGGACGGAGCCACAGCAGACTGGATTCAGTAAACGCGCTGAGAGCCGGGTAGCCACAAGCCCTCCAGTCTGTCTGCCTCTGTTTGATCTGCATGGTTAAGAGGTTTACCCAGAGCTCCAATCCAATCCACGGCAGTCCCACACCATATGAGTCAGGGCTGGGAAACACTGATTGTTAGATCAACTATGTAAATCGTGTATCCACGGCTCTACCGGCTATGACGGCATTATCCATGTTTAGGGTTTGCTCCCTGGAGGAAGCTCAAACTTCCATTGTAAGTGGATTAACTGGTATCAAGCTGTACATTATGATGATATTTGACATGGCTTCACTCACCTCCAACTTAAACTTGGCTTTGGATAACATGTCTTACACAGCAGAGTAGGGAAACCTCGTTTTTTTATTTTTTTTATTTGACGTATAAACAAAGCCCAGCAGTCTGATTTGGTATCTCTGATAGCTTAATAGATGTTTTACAGCACAGATTAATTTCTCTTCCTTTATTTATAAACAGGATATTGTGTCTTGCTGGGACTCTAAGCTGTCATTAAATGTGGCCATTAAATCCTCGTAAATATTTTAATGTGCTGCTGAATGATTGAAGAGGAAACCATTTGCTGTTTAAGGAGGAACCAGAGGATTTAAAGACAGCCTGAGCTTTCTGCATTGCGTTGAGTCACCTTGTGGAGCCATAATTAGTGTCTGCTTCTCTTAAAGTTGAATATCTAATCATTCTCAATGGGATATTTTGGTGAGACACACCGCCCTGTGCCTCAGAAGTCAGGATAAGTGTTGACGATGGGCCCTTAAACCTCCTGGAGGAACACGTTGGATCACAAGACTTTTGTCCAACCATTGTTTTTTACTTCTAATGTTTAATCATTTACAATACGCAGGCAAGTGGGGTTGGAGGTAAGACAACACCCCTCTGCTCCTGCAGCTGGGGGATTCTCTGTGCAGTATAAAAACAATAAAAACATCTGGCTTTACATCTTTGGGCTCATGTCAGTAATGTGATACAATCTGACACATCTCCGTTCATAGCATTAGTAAACTCTGGAGGCTTCTTAAATAGAAACTCTGGGCTGTTAGAATTCACATTTAACTGAATGTTTCCACTTGTGGTGAAGTGAGAGAAGAGGACGAGGGCTCCAGGAGTCATTGCAGTCACATATTGAAGCTCTCTGCTCCCTTTTCTTTTGCAGTTATCTGTCAGTCATTACGTTGTTGTGGTTAATATTCCCACTCGATTAAGTTGATTTCCATGCTTCTGTACACATAAAGTAACACAAACATAGGCTCACTTTAATGATGACTCGTGTGTCACTAGCCTTTACCACCAAGGCTTGTGTGTTTATTTACTCCACTAAAGATATATTAAGAATATGGTCTGGCATTGTTTTAGCTCTACTATATAATTGTGATAGATTTGTTTTTGTCAACACACAAAGTCTCCTACAAGGCTGACTGATGTCCCCCATATATTTTAAAACCAACCTTCTTCCCTTTCAAACCTTCAGATGCAGATTTACAAAGTTGTCAACATCTCTTCACCCACACTAGAATTACAATGTGCAAGACAACTCTTCCACTGCACCAATTTTCATGCATACTGTGCTCGGTGTTCACATTTTTGCCTTTGGTCTACCATGACTTTGTGCTCTAGCTCTGTCACTTCTCCCAAGCAGATGGTAGTCTTTGCTTTATTTCAGGTTCGTCTGGGCTATTCATACTGTAATCTCCCCCCAAATAAACTTCATTACCCAGGGGGCACTGCTCAACTCAGCTTTCTTAATATAGCACCTTTCATACATTTAAGCATGCGTCACAAAATAACAAATACAATAAATAAATGATAACAGGTTGAATGGCAAAAGATGAACACTATAAAAAGAAAGTATAAAAAATAATTACGAAATAAAAATAAAGATTACAATGACAATGAAAGTAAAAATGATGAATATAAAGTTCATGATATGCATCTGCTGTCTGCTTTTTCTATATATCTATCTAAAGAAAAAGGTGAGGAGTTGGGGCGAGCTTCAAGCCTCCTGGGAAACAACGCGCCAACCTGACAGTCAACTCAGTCACGCCCCTTATTTAGCAAATTTATGAATAACTTTTAGGCTTTCAAAAGTAGTCAAAACTGTCAAAAATTGACAAGTTTTGTCAATATTCAACCCTGTGTAATGTAAACCAAAAAGGAAATAAGATATTCAGACCAAATTAATTTTTTAACCATGCTGTAAAAATATTAAAAAAGGTATTTTAACACGGGACCTAATCGGAATTCCTTAGCTTTTGCAAGTGGACACTTGATAAACTGCACTGTTTTGCACTGTTTTGCATTTTTCAACACTTTAAATTGCCAATAATTTAGATTAAGCTACACGCGAGCATGCACATCAGCAGAGCACATTGTAATCATGAAGCTGCTACACTGACCATGGTAGCCTTGAAGAATTGTGCAGCTCCTGTTTTTTTTTTTATTTGATCCCTTAACAGGCAAAATTAAAAAGACGAGTTTGAAAAGGGTAGTTAAAAAGTATTTAAACCTCCTACTTCCCAACTCTGGTGCTGAAGGACTCAACAAAGGCCTTTTACTTTCATCTGTCTTGTTTATATTGTCAGTGATTTTTTTTCCCCGAGTCCCATCAGATCTCCTGTAATCTCTCTCGGTTCCCAGAGGACACAGAAGTTAACAATGTTGTTGTAGTTTTACTGACAGCTTGTCAATCGTAACCTAAAAAAAAAAAAACAGTTATTGTCGGGTACATTGGGTTGAGCCCAGCCCAATAAGGCTGCAAATATCAAGCGAGTGCTACACTTTAGAGAATAGTTGCATCACCTAAGGACAAACAACATTATCCACTGTTTCCTAGCTGCGTGCTGCAGGGACTCTCGCTCCCAAACGGCCGGTTGTTAACACAGAGGCAGCTCTGTATATCTTTCTCCCTCGGCGGGTACAACCCCAGCAGGGATCTAATGTTGAACCAAAGTGCTTCTAGAAAGTGTAATCTTTCTTTCATTGCACATGTTCTCCGTTTTATATGAACCCTCTTTTCCCTCAATACACCCAAATGATCTCCCTCTCTGCAGGAAGTTTTATATATATGTGTGTGTGTGTGTGTGTGTGTGTGTGTGTGTGTGTGTGTGTGTGTGTGTGTGTGTGTGTGTGTGTGTGTGTGTGTGTGTGTGTGTGTGTGTGTGTGTGTGTGTGTGTGTGTGTGTGTGTGTGTGTGTGTGTGTGTGTGTGTGTATATATATATATATAGAGAGAGAGAGAGAAATACAGCCTCTCAAGTGATTCCGCTATGCTCTTCTTTTTTCCCTCCATGTTTCAAATTAAAGGCTCCCAACACGGCAGCGCGTCCTTGGAAATGTTTATGGGCGAGCACATTAGGGAAAAGTCAGAGCAGTTACCAAGACGCTGGAGTCGAGTATCTTCACATATGCAGAGATGAAGCCTATTTCCATAGAAATGGTCTCAGGAGCTTGTTGTGAAGGATCCTCCCGCTGTTAAGAATCCTCACGGGTCACTCCACACACATTAATGGCGGCATTAGCGCCTCATTTGTCCTGCAACTCTGTGCGACTTGAATGGCCTTGTTTTACATATAAAAGTGGATTTGTTTCACCGCCTCACCAGCTCT